CTGAAATGACATTTATCGGGTTGCGCTTGACTTTTCTTTCTTTTTGCAACAGACCCTGTCCTGACGCGTGAGCTCTCGGTCAGCGAAGCGGCGGCATATGGTGCTCTGCGGTGCTTCACCGGAACGGTCTTTTGGACTGTCCGGTCACAAGCAATGGACGGATGGACCGGTACGGCGGCTGGACGGTGGCACGGCGGCCGGACGCTGATCGCACGAAGACCGGGCGCACTGGACTTTCCCGGAATGGCTCAAGCTGAAGCCAGGCGAAGCGAGTGCGGTGTGCGTGTGCCTAGCTGGACACTGGACAGTGACGTGCAGTGACGATGTGTACGTGATGCGGCGGACGCGGTGCTGACGTCACGGTGATATCGGTGATTCATTGCGTCCAAGATGGCAGTTCATTTTATGTTGAAAATTTGTTAATTTTCAAGGGGGGAGTATGTTGTGAAATGCGACCACCTTAGTTTGTGAGCCCCAGCCGGGCCGGCCGGCGACGCGCGCGCGAGTTGTGAGCCGCTGTGGACACGTGACCGGCCGCCTGCGGGCGAATTGGGCGGAGCTGACTGCGGCGGCGGCCGCTGATCAGCGGTCAGTTGGCGTCCTGATCTCGAACCCGTAAGGTACGGCCTTTTGCGGCTGATCTTTGCACACGGGTAGAGTGACGGCGTGACTCAGGCACCGGGAGAGTGCGGCCTTGAGGCTGACTCCTTGCACCCCGGTTGCTGCCGCTGGTCGGCTAGGCGTCGGGGAGGGGTGGAGGGTCGGCTATCGGTAGCGGCGCGGGGTAACCCGGTGCCGACCCCAAATTGGAACCTTTGTGGTGTAGTGTATTTCTGGATCGGATATCGGTAAGGTCAGCTAATGCTGTTTAACTCCGACAATTGTCGTTTAAAGGGTGGCTAGTCACGGGTTGTATTTGATTGTGCTTATCATCACAATATATCGCGGCACTTCAACGCATTTCTTTAAGTAGTCGGTTGAAACTTACAGTCGATCCGGTCTTAGGGTTTGTCTGAATACAGTCCACACTTTTATACACGGCCAGAGTCGCAACAGTATGCCACTGTTAATTTGGAACATTATCCGAACGAGCCGATTGTTGCGGCCCGCCGGGAGCGTATCCACAACCGCACAGAGCCGTCCAGTCGCCAAAGTTGCACACTTGGGCGGGTTGGAGGGGGAGGGAAGCGACTCCAGAGACCTGTAACTCGCCCCAGTGGCTTCGTGGCACAAAAAGACACTCGGGCCGAGTTTAAACGGATCGAGCTCTGAGTTACCGCGGACTGGTCCGGTCAAGTGGCTGTCCAACCGACCCTGCAAGCGTAACTGATAGCTCGGCAATGGCAGCGGCGCTGACGGCTATTGGACGGCACACGGATGCAGTGTTACGCAGAACGGGGCGGTTTGGCCGACATACCAGTCAGGACTGTGATATCCATGAAAATGATTTCGACCGAAGTGCTGCATTCATGTGAAGAAACAGCCTTAAGCCGCTACCTCAATCATTTAAGCCCTAACTTAATTTTTCCAAGCATACCTTCTTTGATACTGATTGCGGAACCTTTAAGTTTAAATGAAAAAGGAGAGAATGCCAAGGTAGAGGGAAATACTTTGACTGGAATTAATAGCAAAGAAATGATAAAGTGAAAAACGAATAGAAGACTTTGAATACCAAGCAGGATTACGCGGCGGCGGAGCAGACGAATGGAGCGTTGAAAGCACGCAGTTGGCCACCACACACCTTCATTACTTAGCAGCAGAGGGCGTGAGAGGCCGGGCTCCGCACGGGAAACTTGGCCAACAGCGATACTCAATCATCCTGATTAAGTATGAGGCCGCTCACTTCCAAACTTCTCGCAGAAAAGGAAGAAAACAGCCGGCGATAGTAAATTCTGCCGGCCGCAGGTATCAATCGTGCGGAGAAACAGCACCGTTAGTGCCTGGATGGAAACAGCACACAGCGTACATACAGATGGAAAACTATGCGAGCTGATTGATAAACACCTCTGACGAAATGTTCGCTTTCCTGGCACGTAGGCAACAACGAAACCTTAGCGTGTTTTATGATATGACAAGAAACTATTTTAATGAATAAAAAGACTGATGGCGGCAAATGCTGCATTTTGCATGAAGGGACAGGGGGAAACAGGATGGAGAAACCATTTATAACGCAGTGGAATGGGATGGAGAAGATCGCTGGAGTTCTCTGGGGACCGGTGCTGTGGGCGATAAATGCCGCAGGCGCCCGGTCCGGCAGGGCAGCGGAAGGACTGCTCCGCCCCACCGCACCATCACTCAATGATTTCGCCCACCGCCACCAGTCCAGCGACTTTTATTGGAGAAATTCTGAGCAATGAGCAGACCGCTCACGCTTAGTATGATTTAAGGCCGACACAGCTCCCCAGTGATATATGGGTAATCACACGCAAATCTGAATCATTGAAATAACATGCAAAAGTAGTCAAGATGAAATATTTCGCGAAAATGACATGAAAGAAACAATAAGTAGGCCATCGAATTGCTATTGTCCAAAAATATAGCAAAGTGTTAAAAGCATACGGTGTGTTTAGATATGGCAAAATAATATACTTCACATGATTTATAACCATGTCAAGGCGTGGGTAGCCGGAAATTAAGCTGGAACAGATGACTTCGGGCTAGATTGTGACGTAAATTTCATCTCTTGATCCCAACAGCGTGGCAGCTGTTAACAAGGGTCGAACAGCGCCGGGCCATTAGTACACCGGCCAACCAGCAAACAGAGCTGCTGAGTCAACGGCCGGGCCTACACGGCCTACACGATCCTGAGCCGGCGCGAGTGAGCGAGTTGCGGGATACGGCAGGAAGAGGCAATAGAACGGAGCACACGCTTGTGCTGTGACTATGTTAGTCTTATTACATCATTGAGACCATGGGATAGACAGCGAGACAGATAACCGGTGAATAGAATGGAGCAGGCGAATTGTCATTGCTATGGAGTGAATGGAAAACAGGCGTTAGGCGCCTTTTATCCTGGACTAAAATGTTTACACTTATACAATGATTTAATATATGACCATTTAGCTCTGGTCCCCTGAAGCAGGCAACAGGCGAAACGCACCTCACTGATCCGGCAGAGCGCCACCAGCTCCACGTTGACCCTGAGTGGGCTGGTGTTACGGGCCGCCCCTGGGCGGGCGCCTGGCGCCGCCCGTGGCGCGGGCCGCCCCTGGGCGAGCGCCTGGCGCCGCCCGTGGCGCGGCCCGGCGAGTGGTCGCGGCGCCGCCGCCCGGCTGGCGGCGGCTGGGGAGTGGGCGCGCCGCGGCGAGCGGGCAGTCGGTCGCGGGACGCGGAACGGGGTGTTGTGCCTGTAATATTGCCGGAAATGTCTGATGCCGTGGACCACAGCCCAGAGCTCTTTGTCGTAGGTGGGCCATTTCACCTGCTGCTTCGACAGCGCCTTACTCTCATAGGCGACCACCCGCTCATACTCCCCTGTCTTCTCAGTCAAGACAACGCCAACCGCGAAGTTGCAGGCATCGGTGTACAGGACAAACGTCCCCTTGCCAGTTGGTAGCGTCAGGATCGGCGGCGTGGCCAGGACGGACTTAAGCTGCTCGAAGGCTCCTCGCATCGCTTCCGTCCACCTGATTTGACCGTCCGCCACCGTGGCGTCTCGCAGAGGCTTTGTGATTGCCGCATATCCTTGGATGAAGCGTGCGTAGTACCCGCACAGACCGAGAAAACTCCTCATCTCTTCGTCGGATGATGGATGTGGCCATGCCAGTACCTTTTCCACGTTACGTGGATCTGGCCGGATTCCCTCTTCGGAGACTAGGTGGCCGAGGAACGTCACTTCTTTGCGAGCGAAGCGACATTTTTGCGCCTTGAGCTTCAGTCCCGCCGCTCGGATCCGCTCGAACACCTCTTGTAAAGTGGCCAGATGCTCTTCCTCCGTCCTGTTGAACAGGATGACGTCATCCAGGTACACTAGGCAACTTTTTGTGTCCAGACCCGCCAGGATCATTTCCATCAACTTCTGGAACGTGCCGCTCGCATTCTTCAGGCCCATTACCATCACTCTGAAGTGATGTAGCCCCTTGCCCGTCGAAAACGCCGTCTTTTCTCGATCCTCAGGTGCCAACTCCACCTGCCAATATCCCGTGGCCATATCCAGCGTGGTGAACCACCTCGCTTTAGCCAGGGTGTCGAGAGAGTCGTCAATTCGAGGGAGTGGCATCGCGAAGCCTTTCGTCACTCTGTTCACTGCTCTCAGGTCAACACAGAAGCGGAAGGTTCCGTCCTTCTTGCGAACCAGTACCACTGGAGAGCACCAGGGACTTTCGCTTTCTTCGATGATCCCATCCTGTAGCATCTTCTCCTTCTGCTTCTCCACCTGGTCACGCACCTTCAGCGGCACCCGCCGTGGTCTTTGTTTGATGGGACTAGCATCACCAGTATCGATCTTGTGTCTGGTTAGATTCGTCTGACCAATATCTCCGGGACGCCAGCTGAAGACATCGGCATATTTCTCGAACAAGCCGCGCAGCCTCCCCTGACCATGTTCCCCGAGATCAGTCAGACCGGGTTCCAGCGCCTGCTTCACGTCCGGATCGATATCTTCAGCTGCCTCCGGTGGAAAACCTCCACCTTCGCAGCTCGCCACCGCGTCAACCACGTCGTCCGGCTCTGGACACAGTTCACACATGTCTCCCAACGAGTCTCCCATCGAGAAGAATGTTCCCACGTCTGAGCCTTTCAGCAGTCGAACGTCTTCTGTCCCGACGTTCGAAAATTGAATGGGCACTGTGCCGTCGGTCGCGACAGCAACAACAGCTCTCGGTATCAACAGTGAGTCCCAGTCGGCTGCAGGGCTCGGCTCCACCATCCCGGTCATGGGCGTCTCTGCCACAGCTACGCCGGATCCATCCAGCGGTTCAACCACCGCTGCAGCTGTCAGGATCGAGCGACCCGGAATAGTCACTGTCACCGCAACGGTGGGGAATTGATAACACTACATATTGGAAATTGGCGTGGATATATATTGCGGTACAACGTTGGTAGTCAGTGTAGACGAAGTATCGCTCAGACGCCTTCAACTTGACATGTAGGTTTCTGAGAAACAAAGAAAATCCTAATTAAATAACGCCAATCACATCAATAGGGCAAGAAAACTCAAATTCACACGACTCATAGCATTTTAACAACTCAAACTCCTTACCAAAGTAAGCCCGACCGTCACAGAAAAGGCTCAGACAAAGACCATGCCGGTATTTTTCCAACCACACCCTTCTGCCTTCGAACGATCAGCTGGTTGCATGAAAATCCAGCTGATAGCATGACACTTTCAGTTTCGGTCTCAGTCGTCGGCGCCACCAGACAGAGCACCCACGCCATCTAGCGTCATACGGCGGCACTCTCCCGCAGTCGCACTCGGGTTGGTACGCAGGTGGCGCCACACGATCAACGTGCCACCGAGAATATCCGCTTCGCTCGTCACATCCTCCACCCCCCAAACGCTGACATGAGACACTGAGACGAGCCCCACGGACCATTCTAGCACTGTCATCACATATGCGTCCGAAATACCCCTGTCAGCGCTGGGTAGTGCAGCCTTGCCAGCTATGTTAACGCGCACGGGCACCGCTGTTTCGCACTGAGCACAATTCGACCACGCTGACAGCCGATAGCAGGAACTGAGGCCAGCTAGTCCCATCCGGCACTAGCTCATACCGGACGTCCCTGAGCTCCGTCCCAGAGCATAGCTCCACAGTCTGTTCCACCGGACGGTGTCGCCCGCCCCGACCGCGCGCGCCGCCCGCTCCAACTACGCTGTCCAACTGGCCACCGCTCTGCGCCAGCGAGTCGGGAGTTCATCCAGCCCCAGTACGGCAGTCCGGAGACGAGCGTCATGCGACGCGCGACCGTCCTCACGCGCTCCACCGAGCAACGCGACAGCCACGCCGCCGCTGCCCCGCCGGCGGCGCCGGAGCGCCACGGTCCGCCCGAATCCAAGTAGCAGCCGCTGCAGTCGGAGCTCCACGGTCCGCCGGAGGACACCAGTCAGTCACCACCAACGAAGCCGCCGAACATCTTCGTCGACCCCCGCCAGATCCGGTAGTGTAGCCGCAGCCCGTCGCCGGTCAATAGGAACGGTCCACGACTCTGTAAGGAACACAGGATCCTAAATAGGACAGATCTAAGGAAGCGGATGCAGTACATAATCACTAGCGCAGGATAGTCAATGACACAGGACATTCAAAGACACAGGATAAAGCCAATGACACTGCACACATTACACCGCCCTCGACTCGTCTGCTTGCATCAGACACAGCTCTCCAAGAAGCAGATCCTGTTGGAGGGTCGTAGGTAGATTCCTCCCGTGGCAGTGCGAACTTTCACTGCTCGAATGGTTCCGTCTGCACCCGGCATAACTTCTGTCACTCTTGCTAGCGGCCAGTAGCCGCGCGGAGAGTTTTGCTCCACCATCAATACCACGTCTCCAACTTTCAAATCACGTGTCTTCTGCATCCACTTCTTCCGTTCGATGAGAAGAGGCAGGTATTCTTTGCGCCACCGCTGCCACAGCTGGTTAGACAGAGCTTGAGACTGTCGCCATTTTCCGCGTCCACACGTGTCGCTGTCTGAAAACTTTCCAGGCGGCAGGGCAGCTTGAGGATAGCCCAAAATGAAATGGTTCGGGGTTAGTGGTTCAGCATCGTCGATAGCAGAGCTAACGTACGTCAGGGGCCGACTGTTCAATAGAAACTCGACTTCCAGTAGGACGGTGTGCAGTACATCCTCGGCTACGCACTGATTCCCTAGCACCACGCGCAGCGACCGTTAACGGAAGCTACCAAGCGCTCCCACACACCGCCCATGTGGCTGGCCGTGGGTGGGTTGAAGCGCCACTCAATGCGCCTCTGAGTCAGCTCATCCACGATCTGTGACTGATTCCAATGTTCCAGACAAGCTTCCAGCTCCTTCTCGCCAGCGACCAGGTTCGTCCCGTTATCGGACAGGATCAGTCTTGGTCGTCCTCGGCGGGCGATGAATCTTCTGAGCGCCATCAGAAAGTCATCTGTGTCCAGTGACGCAGCGAGTTCTAGGTGTAGCGCTCTGGTCGCAAGACAAGTGACGAGAAGCACGTATCGCTTCTCGCTTTTCCGGAACTTCTTGACCGTCAGTGGTCCCAAATAGTCGATACCGACGCAAGCGAATGGTCTGGAAGTATCGAATCTGCTTTCGGGAAGATCCGCCATGATCGGAGCTCTAGGTTGAGCTCTCCTGTTCCTGCAGAAGGCACAGCGGTAGATGTTCTTCCTCACCGCCGATCTCGCTTTGGCGATCCAGTAGCTGAGACGTATCTCACTGAGAGTCTGCTCTATTCCTGAATGTAGGACACGTCGGTGGGCATCAGAGATGATCAAGCGTATGATATCATTCTCACCGACTAGGATGGGATGTCGGGACGACTCAGGAAGAGGCGCATGGAGAAGGCGTCCTCTAGCACGCATCAGTCCCCGCTTATCGACGAACGGAGACAGGTGTTGTAGGGAGCTGCCGGCAGGCAGACGGCCTCCGCTGACGATCAGCTTCTTCTCCTCGTTGTACACAACGTCTTGAGACTCCTTCAAGATGAACTCTTCTGCAGCTTCGATCTCGGGAGCAGTGAGAGGACCTCCCGCTCGCTGACCGCTGTCCTTCCGGCCCCTCGCATTCCTGCTGAAGCGGATGATCCAAGCGACCACACGCTTATACTTCGACCAGGATGAGAAGCGGGAAGGGTCTAGAAGGTGTTGTTCGGCGATACTGGCTGTGAAGACCGCCTTCTGTGTCGCTTTGACTTCTGGTCCGCTTGCCTCTAGTGTTGACTTCACTTCTTCAGCTGGCCATTCCACCTGATCTCGCGTCAGGAACGCTGGTCCTTTCCACCACAGGTCACATTTCTCGAGCTCTGGTCCTGACGCGCCGCGTGAGCACACGTCCGCTGGGTTCAGGTCGCTGGGAACGTGGTGCCACTGACCTATCTCGGAAGACTCCTGTATCTCCGAGATCCTGTTGGAGACAAAGGTGTGAAAACGCCTACTTTCATTTTGCAGAAAACTCAGCACCACAGTGCTGTCAGTCCATAGAAAGGTCTCGTCGAGATGACAGGACAGCTCCTTCTTTACAAAGTTCGCCAGTCTCACTCCAAGTACGGCTGCCTGCAGTTCCAGCCTGACTATAGTCAACTGCTTCAGAGGAGCAAGCCGGGTCCGCGACATCACAAACGCTGTGAAGTGCTCACCTCTCGTGCAAGACATCCTGAGATATGCTACCGCGCCAAAGGCCAGCTCGGACGCGTCGCAGAAGATATGTAGTTCTCGATGCACGACTTCCGTGTCCTGCGGAAACTCGACTTTGTAGCACCGGGGAATCTCGATGTCTCCCAGGAGAGGCATTTCCTGGAGCCAGCCTTGCCAGGCTGTGAGCATGTCTCCACTCAGTTGCTGGTCCCAGTCGTGCTTCCGCATCCAGAGCTGCTGAACGAGCACCTTCGCCTTCAAGACAAAGGGAGAAACCACCCCCAGGGGGTCAAAGATCATTGAAAGCTTCCTCAGGACCCCGCGCTTGGTGTTCTGCACCTCAGTCTTCGTCACTTGAACTCCCAAGACGTCACAAGCTGGTTTCCAAACACACCCCAGGGCACGCTGAGTATCACTTGGTCCGAGGCATGTTTGGTCTTGTCTTGCAGCGCTCCTCTCATCTCTGGGGATCTCGCTCAAAACCTCCATATTGCTGCTGTTCCACTTCACCAGGCGGAAGCCGCCCTTGGCGACGAGTTCAGTTACCTGCTTCTGCATGAGCTTGGCAACTTCAACGTCTTTCACTGACACCAGCAAATCATCCATGTAGAAGTTCTTCTTCACGACCTCTGCTGCGGCTCGTGACTCGATCGTGTCTTCTTGGTGGTCTTCAGCTGTCTTCTGGAGAGCATGGTTGGCCAGAGCGGGACTGCATTTAGCTCCGAAAATCACCACAAGCATCTGGTAAACCTCGGGGGGTCTCCTCTGGTCCACGTTCCGCCACAAAAAACTCAGCGCCGGCTGGTCTTCTGGTCGCACTCGCACCTGATGGAACATAAGCTCCACGTCAGCGACCAGCGCCACTCTCTCCTCCCTGAACCGAAGCAGGACACCCACCAGATTTTGAAGCAGATCTGGCCCTGTCATGAGAGCATCGTTCAGAGAAGTGCCTCCATACTGAGCGGCCGCATCAAAAACCACGCGGATCTTCGACTTATTTGGACTCACCACTGCATGGTGAGGTAGCAACCATCTCTTTGGCGTTGGCTGAGCCACCTCTGCCGACGATAACTTCCGCGCGTGACCTTTGGTGACGTAGCTCATTAGTGCTTGGTCATAGGCTTCAGCCTTGTCAGGGTTTCTCAACAGGTTCTTTTCCAACGACAGCAGACGTCTCTCTGCCATGACTCTGTTGTCTGGCATCTTGGGTTCCGGGTCTTTCCACAGCAACTCCACTTCATAATGACCATCTGGAGTCTTTTTGGTCCTCTTCAACATCTCCAGGGCACGGGCGTCCTCCTGGGATCTGGATGGCTGCCCCTCATACCTGCACCCAAATGATTCCGTTTCCCACCAGTCCTGTAACTTGGTGCACAACAAACTCTCCTCAGTCATGGGACGGACAAACATCACACTCCTCAGGCTGTCCACCTCTGCTTCAGCCACTGAGCCAGTGAGAGTCCATCCGAATGTCGTTCGGATAGCTACTGGGTCTCCAGGATTCCCAGTCCTGATCTCCAGCTGCAGCACAGCCTCGATCACATTCGCTCCGAGCAGTAGCTCAACTTTCCTCCCCGTGCAGTCATGGAGTGGTAGGCCCTGAAGATGTCTCCAGTTAGCTTCCTGCCGTACCTGTGGAATAGTGACATTGATATCCTTGACTGAGAACGCCTCGGGGACCAAGACTCTTGTGCAGCTGCCGCTTGTTGCGCACAGCTCTAACTGGGTCTTCTTCGACTTCTGCAGAGGTCCGGACCCTTCAACGTTCTGCAGTCTGAGGCTCTGCTCCACTCCCTGTAGTCCAAGATCCTCCAAGACACGTTCACACACCAGAGTGGTCTGGGAACCAGGATCCAGCAGAGCGCATACCTCCATGGACCCGTGAGGACCCAGGATGGTGACGGGCACCACCTGCAGAAGCGTTTTCCTTCCTGTACCGACAGCTGACGCAGCGACTACTCGACCAGCATCTGGCTGTGCGGCCACTGTCGTTGACACTGGAGCCCTGATACCAACCCTCTGACTCCCATGCAGCAGCTGATGATGGCGGAGCCGACATCCATCTGTTCCGCACGGCTTCGCTTGGCGGCAGTTCCTCACCCTGTGACCTCTCCTCAAACAGAAGAAGCAGGAACCCGATTTGCTGATTAGCTGGGCCCTCTCGTTGACATGCAGGCGGCGGAAGTCCATGCAGTCCACCAGGTCATGAGGCTGCGAACAGCAGGCACAGGTACGGTGCTGGCTGATGCTGATGCTGGCTGATGCTGGCTGAGATTGGGTGGTAGCATGATGCTGGCTGGTCCCTGTGGCCAGAGTAGCTCTCTGTATGGTGGTAGATCCTCTGTGCGTTGTCTTCTCTTGCCTCTTCTTGGAAGAAGGCGGTTCCACTGCGGCATAGTTGAGTGCAATCCTAACTTGTCTTTGCATCCACACATCAAAGTCAACAAGTGTTGGTTTGGTTTCCAGATCCAGAATGTGTTCTCCCCACATACGCTTCATCTCTTGCGGTAATTTCTGTACGACTCTGCGCAAGTTCTCAAAGCTGTTGAGATCCCCTTCATAGCCTAGAGCCTGAAACATTGTGACCGCGCAGTGAACAGAGGAATGTAAGCGTTCCAGCCCGACTGGATCCAGGTAGGTTGGTGCCGGACAGGAAAATATATCCTGTAGGTGAGCATGCACAACATCCTCCTTCCTTCCAAATCTGTCCTCAAGAGCCTTTAGTGCTTCATCATACAGCTGACCATCATACAGCATCCCACTGATTGTGTCCTGTGCTCTACCAACAACTGATGCCTGCAAGTGCACCATCTTCTCGGTTGAAGTTAGTGAAGGCTGATTGTGCACTAAAGTCCTGAAGAGAGCCCACCATCTTGACCATTCAGATGGCTCGCCACCAAACTTTGGAAGAGTGATGCGTGGCAGACTGTGACTGAAAAGAGATGCTGAGGGAGACGAGTCTTGGGCAACTCTGTCAACAGGTGCAGTTTCAAGACTGACACGAGGGATGTCCGCTGGTCTTGAAGTATCATGCTGAAACTGGTGAGCATTTTCACAGGCAAATTCTCCACCAAAATCACTCCTCCTGTCCCAGTTCAGCTCATCAGCTTTAGCCAACTTTGCCCTGAGTTCTGCAGCAGCTTCTGCATCCTGAGCCTCTTGGAGTTTTTGACGTCTTGCCAACTCCTGCAACTCCTTTTCCTGCTCCAGACGGTGCTGCAGTTGAGACTTCTCCAACTGTTTCACCTTCAGTTCAATTTCTGCTGATCTGGATGCATCTGAGCCTCCCGAGGCCTGAGATCCTTGTACAGACACCACTGATGGGGGCTCACTCTTTCTTGACTTCAAGTACTCTTCAATTCGTTTGACAGCCTCTTCATACTGGCTCTCTGCACTGACAAAGTATTGCTCAGCTTCCTCCTTTTCTTCCTCAGTTGGAAGGAGGGCGGCATATTCATCATTCACTTCCTGTAACTTGCCAAGTGCATTTCCCAACTCAGTAAGTATGGATGCCAGGCGAGTACGGCTACCCCTACTATCAATCAGCACAAAAGCCTGCCTGCGGAATCTCGTCAGCGTACCAAGTTGCCGAGCCCGCCTCTGCTTAGCCTCATGAACAGACATGACTCTGTCACACTGCTCAAACCAGGAAGAGCTTAACAATTAGAAGCAGTGGTGTCTACACAATCTTCAGACAGGTTTCCTCCTCGAGACGCAACTTCAACCGACAATTATTCATGGGCAAGTGTCAGGTCAGAGGCTCAGACAAATGGACATAGGTCACGGCACAGACGAATGCCAGCAGCATTCATCACAATAAAGGCACAGGTCAAACAGTAGTACAGGTCAGAAGCAGGGTGAAGTTCAAGGGCACAGGTTAAAATTCAACAGAGGTCATGGTCAAGGGCACAGGTGAGGCACAGGTTAAGGCAAATTCAATCATGGGTACTTTGAAACTGTCACCGCAACGGTGGGGAATTGATAACACTACATATTGGAAATTGGCGTGGATATATATTGCGGTACAACGTTGGTAGTCAGTGTAGACGAAGTATCGCTCAGACGCCTTCAACTTGACATGTAGGTTTCTGAGAAACAAAGAAAATCCTAATTAAATAACGCCAATCACATCAATAGGGCAAGAAAACTCAAATTCACACGACTCATAGCATTTTAACAACTCAAACTCCTTACCAAAGTAAGCCCGACCGTCACAGAAAAGGCTCAGACAAAGACCATGCCGGTATTTTTCCAACCACACCCTTCTGCCTTCGAACGATCAGCTGGTTGCATGAAAATCCAGCTGATAGCATGACACTTTCAGTTTCGGTCTCAGTCGTCGGCGCCACCAGACAGAGCACCCACGCCATCTAGCGTCATACGGCGGCACTCTCCCGCAGTCGCACTCGGGTTGGTACGCAGGTGGCGCCACACGATCAACGTGCCACCGAGAATATCCGCTTCGCTCGTCACAGTCACCGTCTCTGCCAGAACAACCTTAGCTCGGGAAGCTCGAATCTCTGGGTACGTGGGAAGGGAAATTTTCAACCCTTTGATACGAAAAACTCCCTCTTCGTCATCGATGATGGTGCGATGCTGACAACAGAAATCTCGACCGAGAATCACGTCATACACCAGACCAGCCACCGCTGCCAGTCGAGAACATCCGAATGTCTCTCCGGAGATCGACATCGGGACATCACAGAGTACCTCCGTGATCACCAGCGGACTCCCACCCGCTCCCTTCGCAGACCGCGACGGGGTGGTTGACTTACAGCCCAACTCCACCTTGATGCGCTGATGTAAGCCGCACCTCACCATCGAGAAATCTGCGCCAGAATCAATGAGTGCCCACGCCTCAAGACTACCGATTTTCACCCTGACGGCGGCTGCGGTGAACCGGGACTGGTGAGAAGCAGCTGACTCTCGCCCCACTGAACCAGCTGCCCCTAGTTTTCCGGCTGCCTGTTGTCAGTGGACTTCGTTGGTGCAGTCTGCCGTCTGCCCTGCGCTGAACGGGTCACGTGGTCCGTGAGAGAACGGCAAGCCGCCATCCAGTGACCGCTGCGACCACAGGCTAGACAGAACGGGTGACGTGGACCCCTCCCAGGCTCCTTGAACGGACAGTCAATCCGAATGTGTCCCCTTTCCTCCTACCCACAGGATTACTTGGGCACTGGAGGTGTCAGGATGAAGGCCATCCAACCACCTCCGCACCTCCATGACCCCCTCAGCCACCCAGCGGCGCAGTGTGTACCCCGGTATGGCCCGGATGGTGAGGCTTCGGGGTGGGTCGCAACGGACGTCTGTTCTGTGCAGGATCGAGTCCCCGATGAGAAGGACGGCTTCCGCGCGACCAGCCTCCGGCGAACCGCCGGACGCCCCGTCGGCCTCACCAACTACCACCTCCTCCGGCGACCCGTCTGTGGGCGTCTCCTCCCGCGGCTTCTCGTCCTGCAGCTCCATGTTCGAAAACTCCTCGAACTCTTGCGCCTCGACACCCAGCAGCTCACTTAGCAGGTCCGTTGTGTCAGTCTCCACCAGGTCGACCGCCAGCGGAGACAGATGGTCACGCACAGGATCTCCTACGCCCGCCTCTAGCAGGGTAGTCACGAACGGGGGTGTGGAGACACCGGCTAACACGGCGGACGTCGGAGACAGCGGCGGCAGATACTCTACAGACCGCTGCGCATCACCCGTGAGCAAGCCGGTCGTCGTCGATGGTCCACCAACCGCTCCGGCGCCGATGGGGAGCGCGATGTCCTCCTGCTGCTGGACAGCCTCCAGGGCGGCACGTACTTCGGCCACTTCCCAGTTTTCTCGGTCTGTGCGGGTACTACGCACGCTTCATCCAAGGATATGCGGCAATCACAAAGCCTCTGCGAGACGCCACGGTGGCGGACGGTCAAATCAGGTGGACGGAAGCGATGCGAGGAGCCTTCGAGCAGCTTAAGTCCGTCCTGGCCACGCCGCCGATCCTGACGCTACCAACTGGCAAGGGGACGTTTGTCCTGTACACCGATGCCTGCAACTTCGCGGTTGGCGTTGTCTTGACTGAGAAGACAGGGGAGTATGAGCGGGTGGTCGCCTATGAGAGTAAGGCGCTGTCGAAGCAGCAGGTGAAATGGCCCACCTACGACAAAGAGCTCTGGGCTGTGGTCCACGGCATCAGACATTTCCGGCAATATTACAGGCACAACACCCCGTTCCGCGTCCCGCGACCGACTGCCCGCTCGCCGCGGCGCGCCCACTCCCCAGCCGCCGCCAGCCGGGCGGCGGCGCCGCGACCACTCGCCGGGCCGCGCCACGGGCGGCGCCAGGCGCTCGCCCAGGGGCGGCCCGCGCCACGGGCGGCGCCAGGCGCCCGCCCAGGGGCGGCCCGTAACACTACCACACCGGATAACACCGCTAGCCGGTCAGCACCCCTCTCAGAGTCACAGGTCGGCGAGAACATAGAGTTATGCTACACCACCACCAGTCCACACCAGTCCAACAGTCACTCTCCACCACCTCCATCAGATGACATCCCTAGTATATCCGCTCGTTTGGCACGTTATCGTGAACTGTTCAGTCGAATGAAACAAGAATTCACGGAGCAAAGACTCGAGAACATGACTAGCCGCGACGTTATGGCCGATCCGGAGCTAGCCTACTACTTAACGCGAAAAGCAAAGGATCGAGCCGTGGACGCAGCAAGTCCAGAGGTTCCAAGAAGGTCGCTAACACCGTGTTGAAGAAACGCCGCGTTGTGAACAAGAAGTCGTGCTAAATGTTCCATCTCTCGTAACAATCATACGCCAGTTTTGGAATTTTGTTGTGCTTTTCACCTGCATAGCCTGAAATATACATTTAGGTGCGCAAAAAAAAAAAAATACAATGATTATCAATTAATATTACCATTCTGTTCGCAGATATTAACCCGCGCCCCACTGGGGTTTGTGTACAACACGCCCTACTGGGGGGGGGGGGGGGGCTATTCATAGCCCCCCCTCCTAACTCCGAAACTACTGGGCCGATCGTCAAAATTCAAACGGCGTCTGATAGCCCCGGAAAAACTGTCGAACGAAACCTAATTTCATTGACCTCGAGGTCACCGATGACGTCACAGGTCAGGTCAAAGTAAAAATTATTAGCATTTTGGCTTGTTCACATTTTGGGCTCTGGCCGCCGTCTTACAAGTCAGATCAGGTTCATTTTTGGTTTCCACACTCGTGAACAGATGCTCTAGATACCTTGAGGGTACCAAGCTTGTACTTTGATTTTCAGGTCAAGGTCAGGTCATCACAGCTCACGAAAATATAGCATGCGTCGGTCACGTGACACATGTTTTATGGTCCATTTAGGTCATAGATTTCGAATTTGATGTCGTCTGTGTCATTCGAGGTCATTTTGAGGCAAATTTAGCTTAGGTCAGGTCACTTTCAGGTCAAAAAAGGTCAAATTTTGAAGTTAAGATTTTTCAACAAAAAAGGTGTCTATTGGATGCAGTTTGAGCTCAGGAACACGATGGTGCCATTTATATTGGTGCACGATGTCAAATACGTACTGAAAAATTGATTTGAAAAAATAAAAATTGTGAATTATTTGCAATAATGCGTATACCTTGGCCATTTTTGAAGATATTTAGCTAAAACTTGCTAGAGTTAGTCATAATCATGCGTTCTGTCACATATATTCCGGTTTTTTTCGAAAAGTCAAAAACTTTTTGAAAAAAAAATATAAAAATATAAATTTTGAATATTATTATATAAAATTTTCGAAATTTTCAAAATTTTGAAAATCCGAGATAGCAGTTTGATAGCGCGGTCAATTTTGAGTCCTTTCATGCAAAGAAATTGGATCTAGCTTAAAAACTGAGCTCTTGGGAGCGATTGCCGTGGTTCAATGTTTTGCGTCGAAATCGGACGAACATGACGTCACTCTGACGTCATTTCCGGCCGACCTATGGTAGCTACGAAGTTCAAATTTTGACACAAGGTGTCAAATTGATGCAGCCGAAGGTACTGAAAGTTTGGCGTCGATTCGTCAAGCGGTTTGGAAGTTATTGCAGAAAAACGGGAGGGGGGGCTATAAATAGCCCCCCCCCACATTGCCCCAACAGACGGTAAATAACTTTTGAAAATACCAATTTCCAATTTTAGTGTTTTCTGGACCAAAATTTTGCGAGGAATCCGATGGTGTGGTCCCCGAAATCTGAAAAATTTCCATTTTGGAGATAGCACCTATTTTTTGAAAAATAAATATTCGTCCGGCTTAATAGTCAAATAAATTGGAAATATAATGAGTTAATTTTTGTAACAACACTAGAATGTGTCGAACATGAATCAGAGATATATTTTAGCTGAGATGATACTATATCTGCGCATACATGTACATGAACTAGTACATTAACCCTCGTCGGCCCAGAAGGGGTGGGGCGGGTGCCGCCTGATAGGGCTTTTCGCGATAGCTTAAAACTCGCTTAGGGTAGGCAGCTGAAACTTGGCATACCTAATCTTTTATTCAAGCTGGATCTTTTGACCTCAACTGCGTTTTCAGGTCAGGTCAGGTAACTGACCTATGACGTCATAAATGAGCCTCTGCGAGGTCCTCAGATGTTGCAACTTTGCAACGCCCTCAGTGCCAGCGGAACTTTCACAGGAAGATAAAACTTACAGGACGTAGTATCCTTCAGAGGTCTCACAACTTGTATATCTCGGATTTAACCTAAATGTCACATGAGGTCAGGTCGGTCACGTGACCTCACCATTATAAGTCAATGGGGGAAATACGAAAACTGTTATTTTGGCGCCGTAATGATCTAAAACTATCCCAAGCACATGAAATCGTGGTTTCATGATCGGACCTTACAAAGAGTACATGAAACCACGATTTCATGTGCTTGGGACAGTTTTAGATCATTTCCGGCGCCAAAATAACAGTTTTCATATTTCCCCCATTGACTTATAATGGTGAGGTCACGTGACCGACCTGACCTCATGTGACATTTAGGTTAAATCCGAGATATACAAGTTGTGAGACCTCTGAAGGATACTAAGTCCTGTAAGTTTCATCTTCCTGTGAAAGTTCCTCTGGCACTGAGGGCGTTGCAAAGTTGCAACATCTGAGGACCTCGCAGAGGCTCATTTATGACGTCATAGGTCAGTGACCTGACCTGACCTGAAAACGCAGTTGAGGTCAAAAGATCCAGCTTGAATAAAAGATTAGGTATGCCAAATTTCAGCTGTCTACCCTAAGCGAGTTTTAAGCTATCGCGAAAAGCCCTATTAGGCGGCACCCGCCCCACCCCTTCTCGGCCGGCGAGGGTTAATGTACTAGTTCATGTACATGTATGCGCAGATATAGTATCATCTCAGCTAAAATATATCTCTAATTCATGTTCGACACATTCTAGTGTTGTTACAAAAATTAACTCATTATATTTCCAATTTATTTGACTATTAAGCCTGACGAATATTTATTTTTCA